TTTTAGTCATGTTAACAAGAATGTTAACAAAAAAAGGGGTGTAATTGTAATTAGGGTCACTGTTTCGATAGCCGAGACGTAAGATGATGACCCTAATTTAGATAATGACCCGGATAATTTGGATATTGACTTCTTGTTTTTCCGCAAATTTTCTACATAGTTAAATAAAACTATTTTACGGATTATATCACGTTTTAATTTGACTTGAACAGAAAAAAAATATATTTCTTTAAACTCATTCAACTACAACATACATGAGCATTAAGTAAAAAATCTCCTTAAAGTTTTAAGTAAAATGTGTTGTAGCTTTGGTTTTTCTAATGTGTTGTCGAGTTCTCATATTTTTAAATAATAAGTTAAACATGGATAAAGATTTTGAAAAATGTTAAGAGCATATGAACTTGACATAAATTAATCTTTTAAAAACTTGTTGATAAATATAAAATGAATAACATCCAGCACCTAAAACCGGCCTCAGAGAAGGTCCAAAGTGATTTAAAAAATTGAACCTTAGCTTTTGTTTTTTATTAGTATGGACACTCCGTTGAATTTAAATGTGGACAAAAACGTGTTCAAATATGTGGTATATTAATTAAAGTGTTCAACATTTTTTCTACAGGTAAAACCGAAGCTGCCGACGATTTATTGCATGAAAATGAATTTCGTGGGGCGCGGTTGGTTTGCTATCGACTTCGGCGCTGAAGGTCGTGGGTTAGGTCCCCACACGGGACAATTATTTTTGCGATCCACAGATGATTGTTCCGTATCTAGGTATTTAATCCCAATTAGTGTTAATGTGAAGTAGGCGACAGGTCCTTGACCGATCGCCTACTGAAATACTACAGGAAAACCTAGACAATACCATTGAGAATCTGATTCACATGTTTTGCCGACCCCGCAAAGGCGGGATCAGGCTGAGAGAAAGAAGAAGAAGAAAATGATGTTAAATTTTAGCCGACTTCAAAAAAAAGGAGGTTCTCAATTCGACTGTATTATGTTATGTTTGTTACATCAGAACTTTCGACTGAGTGAACCGGTTTTGATGATTCTTTTTTCATTTCAAATCTGGTGCTTCTCATGTGGTCCAATTTCATTGGTATTGGATCATGGGCTCCGGAGATACGTAGGGAAGTCCTGAAAATCAATTATAAAATCAATTCAGAGCGAGATATTTAAGGACGGTTTTGTTTTTCGTTAATAAAAAAAATGATTTGTACGTATTTTAATTAAGGTTTACGCTAAGAGTACACCTACTATCATAGCGAACTACTACACATACTTTGCTCTTTAAAGTATACGTGGTAATAGCAGTCAAGTAGTAAACTCATTCACATAAACAGAAATCATCTCGCTTAAGAGAATTACAAATAATTGTAATATGCACTATGAGAATACTTAAATACTACATTATACCATTTTTTCAGCCGATTTTAAGCAACGAGTTTCACTTGCAAAGAATCGAAAGCGAAAAAAATACACAGTGACACTTTGCATCCATTTCTCTACAAATTTTAAACACCAGGTGAACTTAAAGCTATTGCCAAAAATAAGGTCATATAAATATTACGTCATTTTATAAATTACTTTCAGTATGTATGTGTATACAGGGAGGCTTTTCTAAGTGTATCCATTTTTTTTATTAAATTCTAGACATAAATAATGTTATATAAAAATGATAAATATTTAAAATCCCTCGTAATTAATTAAATATATTCATTTGAACTTATCTCAAAAAGTGCGTGATTTATGGGCAACTCATTTATTTTACGCGCGATCATTCATAACTAACACGCACATAAGTTCGTTTCAAAAGTACGAATAAAAGAACGATTATACTACCGAGTCTGAACCTCCAGTGAGAATTTGGGCATCTTTATAAAAGCTACCTTGTATATTACATATCTGTAAGTAACGAATACTAATTTCTCTGTGGTAGGACCATCGAATGGGCAGATCTCTCTCACAGAAGACCGGCGTGAAGTGGATGTGTTAAACTTTGCTTTCCGTCTGGTGACACATAATTAAAACTTGGCAGCGCATCGGAAACAATACGGGTGTTGTAGATGCATGAGCCAGCTCTCCATCCACTTTCTCACATAATCTTTTTTTTTTATTTAAACCATTCAGCACTTTTTTATTACTTAGTAGTTTGCATCATTCACTATAATTCACGAGTCTTCTTTAGTAGTACTGGGCGGCGCTATTTTCCGGATATGGTTTTATGGTTCGGTCATTAAAATATTAGACTGGGCCTAATAAAACTATGGAGACTCTGAAAAAATATAAGAGCTGTCCCAAAATATCCTACGAGACTTATATCGACATAGTTTACAAATCAATTAAAAGGATTTATTACGGCAGTAGCTGTCTATACTCTTTTTGGATATCTTAATTAGAGGTGTTAAATTATTTTACACTTAAGAAAACCTTAAAAGTGGCTTGATGTTGTAAATTTAACTACATGGTATCAAAACAATTATGTCCTCAGCTTAATGGTTTCATAGATAAGCTAATAGCTATTAGTGTAAGCTGCCAATCATACCAAACATGTTTGAAAACAATTCAATTTATATTTAATCGCTTTAATAAAAACTAAAAAGTAATCCTCACCTGTGGTGGTAAATCAGATATTTATAAAAATATCTGATTTTCGAATGGCAATTTATAAACGTGTACGACCAGCATTTTTTTTTTATATTAAATCTGGCAAGTAAGCCGGCGAGGCGGTTAACCTGATGTTAATTGATTAAAGAGGAGGATGTAAGTAAGCCAAGAATAAAGTTTTAATAAAATAGTACGACGTAGAATATGTAAAGTATTTTTAATAAAACTTAAAAATTAAAATCAAAGTGCAACACGACCATTTCAAAACCAGCAAATTATTTACTAGATCAGTTTAAAGGAAGCTGATCCGAAAACGCATTTAAAGGACGAAGGCATTCGAACTTCAAGGCGTGCGTCCAAATAAGGCAGTTCAGCGTAGGCTAAACGGGTCGCTTGTAATTATATTACAACGTATACCGACTCGTTATTACAGAGTACGCGTAGGCAAGCTTTGTGTGCAAATTTGGAAGAGCGCGCACCTAACAGTGGCGTAAAAATATCAAAAATATGAATCATACGTCGAATAAGGTTACACGAACCAAATTATGGTCCGTGACACATTTCTATAGGACAGTGGAACTGTTAGAAAACGTGAGAAGCATTTTAAGGATGGCGAAGTACGCATAGAAAAAATAAACAAAAACGACACGGCTATTTCCGGGCCGTGTGTCTAACAAATGCTTTTAGTTTTTGATGAACGTTAAAGGTATAAAATATTTCAATCAACTAAGCCTTGTTTATATTCCAGTAAAAACAACATAATAAATTCAGGGTGGTCTTCTTAACAAATCTTTTTAGTTTTCGCCTACTGGTTAATTGTCCGCTGTTCTTTTCCCACGAAGCTGTTAAAGCCGGCTTACTAGGTACGTACGGGGGCATTTAATATATTTATCATTTGCTGTAATAAAACTGATTTATCCATATTTACTAATTTATCCTATTTAACCCTATTTATATCAATTGCAGTAATTAAACTAATTTATCCATATTTACGGCAAATCCATGTGGACAATATTTGAATGTTGCAATGCATTAACAAGAACGTAGCGAATTATTAATGCAAAAAAATAAGAATAGGTTTGTTAGTTTGTACTTTTAGTTAATGTTTGAAACAATTTAAATAATGTTTGATAACATAAAGGTCTTTTTTGTCATTTTTTTTAATAAATAATCTTTAGATATGACAAGTTCAATAAGTCAGTATTAGTAGTAGTCAGTTGTACAGTTATTATGGACGAGGTAGTTCTGTACTGTGTAAAGTACACTATCGTAGAGTTACAAATTGACAACAATATCACTTACACTGTATCTATCAACGTAGTGATAAAATTGAAATGATGCTTTACAAACTTAGCTTGCCGTCAAAGTCAGTGCTAATCAAAAGAGGATCGGAGGGACGTTTCGCGTCGGCGTAAACGCAAGTCCGATATTGCGATCACGTCCGTGACTGTACCTTGATAAACAATAAAGCTTCACGAGGAAATTTTTGCTATATCATAACAGAAATTGTATTACTCGCTTTACACACTGATACAATCCTTGAACAAGTTTTGAACGTCATCAAATTTTTGTCTTGATGTTTTGAGACTAGGAAAGATTTATTTTACATAAGATTTATTTTAAATAGAAAACTATACAGTAGCATAGTTTTAGAAGTCGCTATTTACACTTCCTAGATAACTGGATAAGTAGTACTGTGGTAGAGCCACGCAACAACTTGTGCTGTTGAACAAATGGACAGGCGCGTCCGGTGAAGTACGACGGCCTCTCAGAAGTCTGGTGTGTAGTGGAAGTATAAAACTTTCGCGTTTCTCTGGCGATCGAGTTAACCTGGACCCACTATTTAAAAAGTTGTCAATGCATGTGGAAGGTCACTTAGAATCAGGTAAACCACCTAGCCGGCTCGCTGGACAATTTTCATACATTGAAAGCTATAAACAAAACAGTATAAAGAAAAAACCTGTATAACACTTGTGTCGTCGATAATACCTACTTTAATAATTTCAATAGATAAATATATATAATTACGGAATCCCGGCACAGTAGAAAATTTATACTAACCGTCTTGCTATGTAACGCCACCTATGAATTCAAGATAACACTTCTACTCTACAACAGATGTCGCTGCATATGACCAGTTCATAGATTAGTTCCTTAATAGAACGCAAGAGGGCACATGCATGAATTAAAATAAAACTTACAGTCACATTGAATAAATATAATTTATTCACTTATGCATACATATTTTTTCTCTATTTGTTTTTAGTGGAAAGTTGGAGTTTCTTCTTGTTTACAAAGAAAACAAGCATACCGTTTATCACATACGTGGAAACACATACAATGCAAAAGTCAAATAAAACAAAAAGTAAGAGGTAAGCAAGGTAAAAACTTGTTACCACTGACGCCAATGCGAGGAATAATTGTAAATGTACAGCCGCTGGACGTTCAAACGTAGCTGCAATAGAAAACATTCTTTTAAGTAAGGATACATTTCAATAAGCAACATAATCATTGGTCATTATCATCATAATCATCATATTAAATGCCATAATTATTAATAATATCGTAATTTTTTTTTATTGGTTACAATTAAAAAATTATATGCGCTTTACAAAACCAAAGTTGGACAATTGTTTTAAATTCTAAGTCGAGAAGTAGATCCGACTGTAAGTAAACTTTTAAAAATTCCAGTAGGCGAGAGCAACGCAATATGACCCAAGAGGCAATCGCATTTCAAATCTTTCTCACTTCCCAGAAATAGCAGCAAATGTACAAATTCTACGATTACAGTTATTCACATCTCGTGAGCTACCAAATAAGCGTGCAGTAAGCAGTTTACACAGACTCGCGTAACATCTTCCGCGGCTTAAGTCACGAAATCTAAACGTTATAACATTGACGCCAGAAAGACTTTTTCAGAAAGACTTTCTTCAATGTTAAAATGCTTCGTTCGTTCATAAAGTAAACTTCACCTCAAGACATTTCTAAAATGTGGTAATCTTTAAATTATATTTACATTTATGTATTACAATTGATTACGTGTCCACGAAGAGCTCTACATTTTCGATGCAAATAGTTGACAATTAAAACACGGAGTTGTTTATAATCTATCTCGTATTAGTAGAAATCAATATTAAAATTAGTTGTTTACGCCGCCACGAATAACCCTGGATGCAATTTTTTAAACTCCAATGACTCTTTAAATAAATGTTTATATAAAGCTTGTACGAAATGCAGCGTTAATGTCTTGAGAATAATGCTTTAATGGTTGGTAAAAATAAAATTATCAGTATCTACTCCAGGAAGATCGATTAGACTTACATAAAAATATAATAGTACAATAAAAGACAATTCCATAAACGCAATTAGGTACTTCCAAAGAAGAATCTTCCCAGAAAAAGCCGAATCCTTTAGAAAACCTGAAACAGAGATAAACATGTATTGAGTCCAATTGTTTGACTACGTTGTATTTTTTATCTTATTTAAGTTAATGACTGAATTATTTGATATAGCAATCTCTTTTGGTTAACTAAGTTAAAGCTTTGCACCAATGGTAACTTCGGACGGACCTTCCGTCCGAAGTTATACGACCTCACAGAAGCCCGATGTGAAGTGGAAGTATTATACTTCTTCGTTTCGTCTGGCGAGTGAGGTGACAGGGGCCCATTTTATTGAAAGGTGCGTTCCCAACGCATCAGGAGCCCTTCGAGCCAGATAATAGCTAACGATCGAGCCGAAGTCCGGCTCTCTCGGGCACACTCGAATCGGTATACTAAAGTGGTATTGAGTGACAGCCCAAGACAAGGTCCCCTCTCGGGGCGTTTGAGCCTAGTCACGCCATGGAGCGTCCGCCAAAGCGCCCTAAGAGCTTGACGGCCTCCCAAACCGGTGAGATTAATAATAGTGTGACGGCCCAAGCCGAGACTCCCTCGGAAGCCCTCAAGTCTAGTCACCATAACGTGCAATAACCGAGCCTGAAGCTAGGCGCCCCGAGCGCCAGGCCACCTCAAGTCCGGCGGATCTGTAAAGGCCCCTAAGGGCAACAGTGGCACATCATGCAAAAAATGTCCTTTGGCGGCGGTTGTCACTTACCATTAGGTGAAACACTAGCTAGCTTGCCACTTTCTCACGTAATAAGAAAATCATTGATTAAAAAAGATGTAAATAACACGTACAGACATTTAAGCAATATTTTCAAATCAATAGAATCTTGAAGATTTCCCTAAATAAATTCGCATGCCGAAAGTAACTATATTAATAACTTAAATAATGGCGTTTAAAACATTGATTAATTATTGATAATAAATTATTATGTACCTATTAAAATGTGTACAGAACTTCTCGGTGTATTTTTTTCATATTCCAACACCGACGAATATGAATTTACAACAAATTTTAGTGAAGCCACATATTTTTATACGTGTTTTTAAAAACATTTTATCTATCTTACAGCTCGTTAAACCGAAACCGGTTTAACAGTCTCTTAAATTACTCTAACCTTGCTTATTCTGCCTCGACGTTAAAAATCTCTTAATAGTACGTTGGACTAGATATTATACACAACAAGCAATGATTATAATTGTTAAGTATAATTATCAAAAGTAAAAACGTAAAAGTAACAGCCTATACATGTCCCACTGCTGGGCAAAGGCCTCTTCTATACGGAGGGTATCAGGGCATAGTGCTTTTCAACGTATTTATCAGATAGTGTGTGGTGTCAATTCCTGCAGCGCCTGTTTACAATTTCTATTATGTAAGAATGGCGAGTTTCAACATGGCTCGGTGACGCCGTTGTTAAGCTATTCGCTTCGGCGTCGGGGGTGATTTCCACACGAGGCAAGTATTTGTGTGACCCACAGTAATTGTTACGGATCTGATTGCTTGTGTCCCAAAAAGGGTTGACTTCAGGCAAGCCGCCGCTTACAACATGATTCACATGTTGGTGTGATAACGGCAGTAGGTGATGATGATCAGTTTCAACAAAATTAATTTTTAAAAGCTAAATTAATGTCCATTGGCAACTTTATAATTGAATTTTGCGTATAAATATATTACATTTTAAAGCTGTAACGACAGCGATACAGCATGCGCATAAAGAAAAAAAAATCACGTCGAACTTACTCGGAAGTAAGGACCCGCGTGCAGCTCGCATGCTCGGAGAGGTCGCAGAATGCCTTATAGTCGGGGTTCGCTTCCGCCGCCATCTCCACGTACAGGGCGTATGTGGATAACAATATTCCGATTATGGCAGTCGCGACGACCGCCCGGTCGTAGCCTCTGGCTTTCATTTTTGCAACTAACACAACCGATGCACCTGAAACTGTGTAATTTATACGTTTTTTTGCCTTACATGATGGCAAACAAGCTGGCCCTTCAACTTTTGTTAAATGATTAACACCGACCGATGAGTTGCAGATGCGTTCCCAACAATAAAAGTAGCCCCCGGCTACCTCACTCACCAGACCAAAGGAATAATCCGTTTCACGCCTGTATTCTGTGAGGCCATTCGTCCCCTGACGAGCATGTTTGACCGTACTATAGTAGAAGGTTCTGCGTGACTTCACCATAGTCGATGGAACATTACCTAAATTTGATAACAATCAAAGAGCAAAACATATTTTTCTACAAATATGAGAAGATGACAAATAAAGGGTGTGATGCGCAATAGTATAAATAACTACCGCCGTGGGACATGTAGTTAGACTGGCAACATCTAAGGTAAAAAGCATAAGTAGGAATACTTCTACTTTGTCGATCTCTTATGCGACATACTACAATTTCGCTTTCAAACGTTCATACTTCCAAGCTTTCATAGATCTTCTAGATTTCTCCCAAGCCGCTGAACATGACGCTGCTTGAAAAAACATATTATAACGCCGTAGTATATCCGCCAGAGGTAATGGCAGACGTATAAGAACATTATCACGTAACCGTTATAATGTTCTTGTAACACTAAAAATATTATAAATAACTCCCTAGTGAATTGATGAAGCGCCTCCGGTAAACAATGTAATACTTAACTTACTTACTACATTAAATACGTTTCGTCTGGTAAGAGAGGCATCTGAAGCCTATTCTTAAAGGTTAGCAACGCATCTGTAACTAATTACTTAACATCAGGTAAACCCGTAAACCACATAGCTTACTTGCTTACATTTTTTCGTCCAATCCACATTTGCTGTAACCCACAAAATGAGGTCCGTCACTGGAGTCCAATCACTTTTTTGAATACCAAAAGACTGAAGAATACTAAAAAATTACAGATCGTAAGTGTCAATTTTGGAACGGTTTTTTGCCGTATTCGTAGATATATGGATGTGAAAGAGGTAAAGAACGCGGGAACGGATAGTGACAAAGGTGAAAATTTAACAACCCGTCTGTCTATACTTACCAGTTACCCTGACCAGAAAAATAAAAGAACAATCCCTGGGAGCGCCATGTTCATATTCTTCATTATTTTTTATTCCCTTTTATCTATTAAAATTAAAACTATATATCCATTCCGTGGTTACCCTAGTTGATTAGTAGAAAAAAGTTCGATTGGTTTTCCGCAACATGGCGATTTTTTTTTTATTTTTCTGGTCAGGCTTTAATTTGTATTTCACATGAATACATTAAAAACCCTTAAAGTCTTAAAGTAATTAGTACGAAACAAATACTTAATGAACAAAAAGAACCATTTACGACTTGTACTCTTTAATGAAAATCAATTCAACGGCCGTGGAATAGGGGACTAAGTACACGTCGGCATGTTACAGAGTAAACAATGAAATTGTATGTAAGGTCACGTCATAAAACAAACACCGTTTACCACCCCTTCGTGTATAAAAGTTATTATGGTTGTTTAACATTAATGTTAGATTGAAAACAAACAGACTGCTGATTACAATTTAAAACTACACGCACGAAAGTTTTGACTAAAACAAATAAATTATTTTTTTCTTACTAAGTACCTGTACCGAATTTGATTCTGAAAAATGCAGCGTTTACAAAACGATTACAAAAAAATTAAAACGAAAAAAGCTGGTTTAGTGTTGTTAAAATACTCTTACTATTACTATACTTATATTACTCTTTCTTCAAGTTGTTGGTGAATCTCTGACTAGATAATATAGTGAACGTAACACATAAAAAAACCCAAACTTATATTCGCTTTTTTAATTTAAGTAGGACAGTTGCAGTCTTTTTTAGTTATGCATTGCATTATGTCAACGGTATTCAAATTAAATAGTGCAGAGATTAGCACTATTAACAATTTAAATTTGGTATTCAAATTGAATTATAAGAACAGGTGATAAGGCAAATAATTATGGTACGGAGACCTATGGCCTTCATTCTAGTTGTGAAGTGAAGTACCAATATCCTGAAAACGACACATAAAAACAGTTGGCGTTTAGTTTAATAAAAACTATAGTCTCCTAGAAAGAAAAAAAATTAACACTACGTTTCATTACACGAATTAATGTACGTTTATCGTTAAATTATTTCAAGTTTAGGCAAACATGAACTCACCAAGGTTAATCAACAAGCGCGTTAATTAATACACTACCATGTTTAATTAAATATAACAATTATTAAACGAAATAAGTTAAGCATTAAAATACACAACTTCTCTCCGCGATATCACAAGAGCAACTGATAGCAATATCTATCGATTTCGATTGAGACTCATTCGAGCATAATAATTATGGTAATTTTACGCTCAAAATTATTAAGTTATTCATTACCCTGACAAAGCTATTTGCGTAAGAGCATAATCAGTTATAATCACACGGCTCTCTAATGTTGTGCTAGCGTAAGAATGTAATATTAAAAGTTTTTCTGTATCCTGAAAAAAATTTAAAAGAGTGTAAAAACGAGAACGGATAACTAGCCAAAGTCTCAGACTGTCGACTAAACTGAGCCCAATTCGACCCCAAAAGAGCCTAATTTTGAGAACAGTCCCCTGACTGCCACAGCCAGTATCGGAAGTTGGCGTCGACATTTCGAGCAGCATCTAGATCCACAGTCAATTGGAAGGTAAGGCCAAATTAGCCTCAAAGAAGTTTGGTGTGCTCAACAATGCGAATCAGTGCTTCACTGCGCAAAATCGGCCGCACATGGAATACGCATTTGCAAGCCCTACGACATTGCCGATGTTCTTGGGTGACGGTGGTCACTTTCGATTAGGTAGTCTCTTGCCAGTTTGCCTTCTTTTTCCATAAAACCGTATTTTAGCAAATTTTAAAGAATTCTTTACAAGTATAAAAAAATAAAGTATAAAAATAAACTTTGAATTTCCTATTATATGAATAACATAAAATAACACATTATTATGAAGTTGAAACTTAAAGTCTTAACTAACTTCAAATCATTTATAAATTACTTTTGTCATTCTTCGATTAATTTTTTTAATTATTATTTTTCTTAATTTTCCTGGTAATAAAAGATTTTTACTTGTAAATTTAACATAAGATACTCAAAATAATGTCTTCTTAATTAAATATTGCCATTCAATAAATAGTGAATTCAATAAAGTACAATTAGTAAAAGAAGACTTCCTAGTTCAAGTAAAAAGTTATATTAATAAAAAATATTCATAATTTGTGAGATATAAATTACAAATACTAAATCTGAACGAAGCTTTTTACGAAATGTCAAAAGCGACACGCGCAAACTTCACATACCTTATTCCTTTTCATGTGTAAACACAGAATACATTTCAACAGCACTGTGTAAACACAAATATGAACCATCGACACAATCCAAAAATGTTGGATATTCTGTGTCTCAGTTGGAATACGAGTAGAGCAATAAAGTCGTTCCTTTACAAAGTACCAACCTAAGCATTTTGTACATTAAAATTCTTCTAAAAAAGTAATTATTTAAATTTAATGCACTTTTAAAAAGAGTTAATAAATATGTTATGAGCAATCTACTTTAAAAAAATATTGTTATAGAACGTTCTTACCGTTAAAACATAAAATAGGTCAACAAAATAATCTTCATTTTATGACAGAGAACGAGATACGTATACAAGTTAGAAGAGCAAACCCGAGCGCCACATTGCCAATGACGCCCGATATCGCGGAATGTATAAGTCCTTATGTTGGTAGCCCTGCTTTAGTTCACCATCGCGACCGCAACGCAGCGTTGGCGTGCAACACCTTTCATTGTATTGACTATTGACTGATTCCGAACACAGAGAATAATGTATAAATCTAATTTATCGTTTTATTATCTTAGTTCTTGTTAAAATTTATAGTAGTATATATTAGTTTAAGTGTAATTATGCCACCATTTACGTAAATGTGAAATTATTCAGCCCATTAAGTGCTACGCGGCCATTTTACTTGCAATGCGGCAACGGTGTACGATCCGCCATTGGAAACGACCAGTGTCTTTTTCTGAGGGCAATATTTGTAGTTCGTCGAATAACACGGCATAGAAACCAGTTAATACCATGTGTGATAAAAGTGTAGTGCGGACTTTTGTGTAGTGAAGCACGGTGGTCGGGTGTTTCGAATAATGTGCGAACGATGGAAAACGAAGTGAAGCAGCGCAATCAAAGAAATAGGCGAAGGGAGCGGGCGCAGCGCATGCAAGCACAGCGAGAGAGCAAAGTTAAGGATGGGGACAGCGGCGAGGACGAGTCTCCAGCGAGAGAGAAGCCGCCTCGTCCTCCAGCCAGGAGAAAGAAATCGAAGGAGCCTCTCGGGGAAGAAGATATCATTGATGGTTTCGCCATAATGGCATTTCGTACCTATGAAGATCTTGAGGTATGTTATTTATACTGCTTGCTAATTTGTTTCAGAACTGTAACTTTTCTTTGTGCATGTTCATAGAAACTTAAATCATGCTTCAGCATGATGTGATTAAACTTTTGGAATGAAAACCTTTGGCTGTTGTTTATATTTACATAATCACAACTCTTGCCTCTTATTTTATATATCGAATAACAATTTGTACCTTTATTGATGTTATTATGTTGTATGAGTATATAACTTTTGATAAGTGCAAATTAACGCCAGCCATGCTTTATACTTTACAAAATATCAATTTTACACGTTCACTATATTATAGCTTAGGTTGATAAGTTGTAAGTTGTGTGTTTTCTTTATTATGAACTGTATTATAAAACAGCGGTTCGTAATAGCTTCGGACATCGTCTCGGAAGTGCAATGACCTATTGAATGAACTCTAAGTACTTTTATTTACAACCTTATTATGCTAATACAAAGTTCATATCGATTTTTAAATTTGACATTTGAAATCAATTTTAAAGTGCTTGCTACCTTTATAAGATGTTAATGGGTGTGAAGTACATATCTGGTGTTATATAGTGAGCAGCTGACGTAGTGGAGCGCTGTCGGCGGGCATTCATGGTCTCCCACTAAGTGTAAATTTGGTCTAAGTGGCTTTCGCTCGTTTGCGTTCATTTATTGAGCCGTACACGGACTACGTGTAGTGTGCGCTGCAGTCCCCTGCATGCACAATAAAACTACACTATGCTAACGCTCTAAATTATTGCAAAGGGACGATCGTACCGCCCTTTGGTGAAGTGCCCGTATATATTGTAGGCCTAAACAGGTTTCTTCGTTCCTATTTAATTCACCACATGTGGTGTGCAACGTTTATGCAATTTCTACTTACAATGGATGCATGCAATTTTCTTACGCGTAACAGGTTTTTTTTTGTAAAAATTACGCCAGCAAATTGGCTAACATATGGTCGAACAACGTAAACGCGGTTGGATTCTTTAGGCACACCATGCTACTGCAGAATGATAACAGTTATTTCAACTTTAATTTTATATAAAAGTAACCACAATTATGTATATAATATACTTTGTTTTCCAATGCCTACATAACAAGGTAAACATACAAAGTGATTAAATTTTATTTGTAAACCTCACTCAAATTTATATAAATAGATAATATATAATGAAATAAGAAAGTAATCATTAGATGCCGCTCGTTTACTTTCTACGCGTTTGTCCGCTTTGACCCTGCGTTCCATACCTTTGCCGTTTTCCAATTCATTAGGCAACGTTTTCTTTATCCCGCAAGGAGAGAAACAAATGCCGTGACTTCAAAGCAAAGCCATATAAAAATTTCGTATGATCAAATATTGCAAAATATTATTATAGTGGGTATTATTTTACTTTCTGTAATATACGGATTTGCTAATTTAGTTAGTACTATTAACCATGTGTGCTGACCGTTAAATAACAATCTTCAAATTTCTTTTTTTTTCGAAAATCAATCGACCCATCTGAAATTTAAAATTGTTTAGCGTGTGTCTGCCTACCGACTATTTATGTTTTTTTTTTAAATGACAGTATGAAAGTAAATTAATTGAAATACATATAAATTACAGCTTCCTGTACTCCTTCACTATTTACACGACTTTACCTGTGCCTAATACAAACTCCTTCTTGAGCACAATATAACTTAAAGACTTCTTTTCATATATAAATTATAAAAAATATTACATAAGCAATACTATTACTACTATGGGGGGATATTCATTTGTTTTCTCGTCTGGTTGGGTTTATAAATAAAAATAAAAATAAAGATATAGATATATTATTATTAGAATTATTACTACTATTATTAGAATGCTGATATTTGGGTTTGAAAGTTTTATAATAATTTCTCGAAAATTAAGCAATTTATTTCATAATCATATGTAGTGACAGTAATTATTACGGGATCAACCAACATCTCTCTTTTTTTTCTTCGTTTATTGATTTAACTCTGTCAATATTTCGCGTCATTCTAAGTTTTAAATAGCATTTTATCGTAAAATTCTAATTGTTAGCGTGACCGTGTCATCTGACGCGCCCGCCGTGCGACCGACGGTCCACAAAAACAATGAGTAGGTATGAGGTAAATGAATTATTTTCTCACGGTGCTCTTACCGCTGCCCCGCTTTGAATCAAGGACCTTATCGAATTAACCGGTGTCATGATTCTTTCATTCATTGCACGCCACTCTATCCAAGTCAACAATATAAAAGTTACTTTATTAAGAAGTTCGTAATATTTTCATTTATACCTTACCATAAAATTTTAATTCATTACGCTTTTTTGTCAAGTTCGCTTAAAAAATCGAAGAAATATCAGAAATTTATTAAAGAAACAAGTATTCACTCGAAATGTGTTTCAGTGCTGAGATTATTTATTTTACCGTTCAATCGTAAGAATTACATATTACAAAGTTACACGTAAAACAACTTAAAAAGTTCGTCATGCCATTCTTATCTTAATCTAGTTGCTGCATGCTATACTCGAATAAAATAATCGTGTAGACAACAATTGATAACCTTGTATTATGAAAATCGCATTTAATTTTCAAGTCATATTTAACTATGTTGAAATAGAAAAAAAATACTTACTTCACTGCTCCACAAAGTGTCTATTGTAGCATTGTACAAATAACAAAATAATAAATAACAATTGAAAATTGTTGAAATCTGATCCCTAAAATGTTTTTGAATATATATATATTATCATGGTAAAATTACACATTATCTTAATCCAACAATATAAATGTTAGAATGATAGGTTGAAGGTAAACAATAATTTGGATGTTAAATTTTAAAACAAATAACATCATTCGTAAATCCATGCAGGAAGTTATTTTTTTAATTTTTAATGCATTTCATGTAGGGTAATATATACTTTCGTAGAAGATTATCTTAACTGATTGATTATTTTCAAATGATGTAAGATAAGCAACTACCTATTATTTTAAATGTATGATTGCTGCAAAGAATAGACGATAATAACTTATCCATCAAGTTACATAAAGTTTTATTTTAAAGTTTTCATACAAAATATGCTCAATCTAAAAAGATAATCTAAAAATCTACGCCTGTTATTAAGTAATCGTTCTGAAGAAGGTGTGCTGATTTCGCAAACAATTTCGCGGCTGATTTGATTAAATCTTTGTCGCCATCGAAAACGTTATAAGTTAAAAATAATTGTAAAAGTTTTACAAGGAAAAAAGAAGAATATACTTAACTTCCAATAAAATTGGTATTCAATTTCACACAATTAAAGTTGCTGCATTGTAATTTAGTATAGTTTAACTATTTAAAAATCAGGTCTTTATGTATGTATAAAGTTGGAACCACCGATGAAAGTGTGATTACTCTAAGTCAAGTTAAAGACTGTTTCTACATATCTTCTTAAATCAATACCTACTCTTACAATCCCTGGATAATTTATAACGCAATAACGGACCATGGGCTTATGCTATAAATCTGACGCATCGGCAAACATATGTTCACTTGATCGTTCGACAACGTATGCTTAACAAAATCGATATGAGCTTTAGAAGACGAGGCAAGACGAGAGAGCGGCGGCCGAGTGTCTAGGCGCCCTTAGACACCCCTGCAACCACCCCCCGAGTGTTCCCCGGGGCACGATGTTAGCACGCCGTGACATAAATACTTACCTGGGAAAAGTTTAAACCGCTCCATTCTGCTTTTATTACCGTTCATGCTACTTCTTAAATTGTTACCGAGTTGTCAACACTATTCGAAATAAGTGTCGGAAGTTAGTGCGATTAAACTTGTCCGCTGCGAAACTGTTTGCTTGGCGAAATTATGGTTACACTGTTTCTCTTCAACTATACACCTTTAAATAGTAACTACGTAATATTTTTGACTCTTATATCTTTGTAACATAACAGATGGTCATGTCAAATTCAAATTCAAAATATCTTTATCCAAATGACGCGTTCTCATGCAACGCCGAATTTTACATAAATAATTAATAAATAAGTTCGTAAGTAAGTTACCACCGGTAAAAGATCATATAAAACAATATAACATATTTATAATAATATTCTTATTTTAGTCTACGTGAGTATCAGTACAACAGTATTAACTCCACCCATTGGTGTCGTTCAGATATTCCGCAATGGTATAATATGCTTTTGCTTTAGTGTCAATAATATAAACATTAATGGATTTCTGGGCAAATATGAAAAAAATTATTGACAGTCTAATTGATCAGTAGCCAAAAATTTTGCAACTGGTCATAATCGAATATCGGTAATGTAAAAGTAATCGAATATCGGTAAGTTATAACCATGGACTTGTTGAATTGATGATAAAATACATCGGATAAACTCAAACCGCTCTGGATTTTAATTATCGAAGAATATGTACTTATTCTTCGTTACAATTTAATGAGGTAAACTCACGTTGAATATTTTTTTTTTAAATAAAACAAGATAAGGTCTAAACGTTAAGTCATGCAGTGGCTATAAAGTCATGCTTAGTTCTAATAAAGTAATTGCTGGCTTTGACTACAAACAAAAGGTTTGACGAAGAAAACCGTAAGGTAAAATTATTTTGTAGTATTTAATAGGTTATATATTTTACAACCGTGGTTTACTTTTAGATACACGTAAGCTATGGAAAGAGATAGCAATCTCTATAATTGCAATCTAATTAGACCGATTAGCGTAATTTGAATGCCTCAGTTTCTGTGCCCTAGTGTCATATCTACCCCATTTGGTTTTTTATGCGAAAAGTTGTCAAACTAGCAGACGGTTTACCTGATGTTAAGTGAATACCGCCGTCCATAGACATCTGTCACACGCGAGGGTTTCAGATGCGTTGGCAACCTTTTGAAAATTGGGCTCCGGCTACCTCACTCATCAGACGAAACGCGAAAGTATTTGTCATATTTCCACTTTACGCTGGTCTTCTGTGAGGTCGTGGTACTTACCCGGACGGGCCTGCCCATTCGTGCAACAGCCGA